ATTATGAAATTATGAGTTCTATTTATTAACTAAAATTTCCTACATGAGAAATTTAATTAGTATCTATACTTTTACGCTATCGCTTGATTTGTTTTTAGTATTCTTCCTTTATGACTATTTGTATATTATGATTTTAGTTATGTGTATATGTACGACTTTTCTCATCATAATTCTAATTATAAGTCTTATATTTTTATATTTTTCTACAAATTTATATTTTATTTATGTTCCTTGCTTATCTAATCGTATTATCCATTACTTAATATTATTAAATTCACATATGAATTTTTAAAAATTACTGTTCAATATAATACAATGAATATAATTTTGTATTACGCTTGAAATTTAACGTGATTTTATCATGTATGACTTTCTCAAATTACGTCGATAATATTTTCGAGTATTATTTAAAGTGTGGATAGAATTACATTATATTTATCCTCCTCTTTACATATTAGTTTTTGTTCTACAATATTTTAATTTTTTTCATTTAGTGTTTATCTATAATATTCAAATTATTGTTTATTTTTTTATCTTTAGTTTTATCTATTATAAAAATTTTAGTTACATGATCTTATCCATATAGCATGACCATATGAATTATTATTAGAAACTTTCTCATCTCAAAAAACAAGTTAGTCTTATCATTTTATATATCTCTACATTGAAGTTAATTATTTATATTTTTTTATTTTTTATAATAGTTTCCTTAAAAATATATAGATATTTAATTATTTAAATTCAAATTAAAAAAGAGTAACTAATTATTAACTAACCTAACTAATTTTGTCCTAAAATTTGACACGTGTTGAATTTTGTTGTGACACTTGGCACCATTACATTGATTTGCTTCTTCTATTCTATATAGATAGATGACGGAAATAGTATATTTCGTGCTTTTTGTAGATCATACCCCTTTATAATTTATAATTTAAGAAAATTATCATTTTAGATCTTTTATGTGTAAAAGACAGATTTCTTATGTGTAAAAGTAAATCTCTCAGATGTAAAAAATGAGGTAGAGTCGTAAAACTAAAACAAGTTTATAAAGAGCCACAAAACCAATTGACTCGTATATTAAAAACCAATTCATATGTACATAAAGTACACCATTAGACATCAATGCTATCTGTTTCTTCTCAGTTTAATTTTCTGATAACTACCAAGAATTTTACTATTGAGTAAAGGAGATATTAGACATGTCTTAGGAGGGACTGAAAAACTCTTAGTAATCAAAATCAAGTACTACTGTCCAAGCACAAGAAATAATTCATGAGCTAGTCTTATCATCTTCCATTTTCTGCACCAACTTTACTTTCTATATCATCCTTGTAGGCTGGTGCCAACTTCTCCCTTAAACCTTCAACCTTTTCTTTCAGTGGGGTGACACTAAGGGCAGAAGCAATCCCTTCCCTGACCTCCGTTTCCAGCTCTTTTACCTTTTCTGAGCTAGAATCCTTCACAATCTCCAGCTTCAACTCTTCAATCTTCTCACTTAGACCTGATCTAGTCACAGCTCTTTGAATCTCCTCATTTATCTCCTCATTTACCTTTGCTATATCCTTTACCAATTCTGGTGGAACAGCAACGTTCGTCCTTTTGCGCGTGCCTACTACTTCCAGGTTGGCTGACTTTAGAACATACTCCAGCTCTTTCTTAGCTTTTTCTACTTCCTCCATTAGATTTGTATCCAAAGGTTCCCCGCTTGATAGCTTTTTCGAAGCTGCGTTTAAAAGCTCTAGCTTGGCTTTTACAGTTGTTGGAATTTTCTGATTGACTTCGGTTTTTAGTTTCTCGCTTTTATTCTTCAGCTTGATGAGCCTGCTAGCCATCTCCACAGTGTGAAGCTTTTGCTTTAAACCAAGATATGCCCCAGGTTGTGACAGCTTCTGTTTAAATTCTTGCATAATCTTATTAGCTTTCTCCTGCAAAGACTTGTTAAGTGGTTGATCCGGAATAGGAGAGCTTTGCAACTCTAGTTTAAGAGATTCAATCTTATCCTGCAAGCCCATAGCTATGAATGCTTTTGTTATCTCAGTATCTAGATCTTCTTGGAGCTTCTCAAGGACTTGGGTAGTAACAGGATCAGATGGTCCCTTAGCTTCTAGAATCTTCTTCCTAAGATTTGCAAGCTCTGATTCCAAATCAGCAGGCCGTGTGTTAGCCTCGGATGGCTTCATTTTGCGCTTCCTTTCAGGTTCAACCTGAATGCCCTCCTGGAAACCTCCAATTGAACGAAATTTAAGCATCCGGTGGTGAAGCAACTGTTCAGTGTTCATCCTTCCAAGTTCCTGTATTAGGAAACCATAGTGAAAAATCAACGCAAAACTGCAAGTGGAAATGTAGAATACAGTCAAAACACAGAAGAATTCATTATATTGATCAACTATGTCAATTCCAAACTAGTTCAGGCTGGCTAAAATGTTAGAATTCGTCATTCGACAAATTCAGAAAGCACCGTTAGATAATAGTCTAGTATATGGTAATTCTATTCCATCCTATCCCACAGAAGTACCCCCAAACAAAAATTGGCGTCCTTGCTGTTACTTTCTTTCCATTTCCTCTTACAATATGAAGCCAATTGTTACTCTTTCTTACGAAAAAGCATTAGCCTTTGATCAATTTCCAAAGACATGAGGTATTACCGCCATAGCCTCGACAATTGCATGTTTAATCTGCTGAGACGCCCAGAAAGGATCGGCATGGGCACCACCCAGAGGTTCCTGCAAGAGATGACAAACAAAGCCAATATTCCAGTAAGGATGATTGGATGGGTAAAATAAGCAAATTGTTTCAGTTTAACTACTGGAAGACTTCACCATGAATTTCCAAATCTTTTCCTCTCTAAAACCAATAAGTATAAAGGTGAAAAGTATATAGATGGCAAGAGTTCTTACAGGAATAATACCATCAGCTATCTTGAGCCTATAATGTTCCTGAGCTGTGATCCTCAGTTTTTCAGCTGCCTATTCAATAAAAATTTCAGTAACGGTAACCATATTTTCACCAACTTCAAACACAATATCTTGTATACCTTTGGAGCTGCTTGTGAAGATTTCCATAATATTGCAGCACAAGCTTCAGGACTGATCAGAGAAGCATAGACTTTGTAAAGATATACCAAGAGATAATCAAGGAAACAATGCGAGAAGTGTAGAAGCAACAACTAAAATGTCATTTATTATACAGGTGTAGAGACTAACATGCTAAAGCAATATTATGTGCCTCAAAGGATTGACCAATCCCTGAAACCTAAAACCAATACTTAAACACATGTACAACGCGTCCACATCTTTAACCTGACACAGCATGTTTTAGTTTGTCATTGATGCAGTGAGCTGACAGTTCGTGTCTTGCTTATATTTCAGGCACAAAAAGTACTTTTGACTTGAACTTTTGGTATTCTTCAAAATGTCACATGCCTGCTAAGCAGTTGAATAAATGTATGGAAAAAATAAAAATGAACCAGATTTTACCTAGCAACATAAAACGCTGAGTTTTCCAACATTAACAACTTATTTGCACATCCAATAGCAAGAGCACCGCCTGAACCACCTTCACCAGTTACAATCGTTATGATTGGAACTTTCAGCCCAAACATTGTCCTTAAATTATGGGCTATAGCCTCACCCTACATGAAAATATTGGAGGGGATTATAGATGCTACATGACTAAACCTTATTCAATAACGCAAAATTCGATAGTCAATGTAAACACTCATACCTGACCTAGCTCTTCAGATCTTAAATCAGCGAAAGCGCCTGGTGTGTCTACAAATGTAACAATAGGGAAGCCATGATGATCAGCATATTTCATCATTCTCAAAGCCTTTCTGTAGCTGCAAAGGCAAAGATTTAGTAGTTACCAATCCATCTTGTTACAAAGCCAACTTTGAAGTATCAAATTAAAGGATACCTCCATTGTTACATTCTCAAAAATTAAAGGATATCTCCTTTTAAACAACTGAACGATACATAGACTCTCTAAAACCCTGAATAACCTGTGCAATTATAAAACTAATTTGGGGAACATGTTGAAAAGCTAATAAGCAGACTACTTCAGCTTAACTTGATAGACTAGTGAAAAAACTAATTCAATTTATCCTTTTAATGCACACAGAACAGATTACTTGGAATGCTTAATGATAGCAAGTAAGTACAATTCTGCACATGAGATAAATCTAATACTGCTGTGAAGGAGAATTCTTGAAACATACCCATGAGGAGTTGGCATTGCAAAGTTTCGCATGATGTTTTCTTTTGTATTTCTACCTTTCTGGTGGCCAATGAAGATGTAACTTCTGCCTTCAATGCTCCCAATGCCAGTAATCATGGCTGGATCGTCATAGCCAGCACGATCTCCATGGAGCTCAACCCACTTTATGCATAACATAGGAATAAGATCCCTCGAGTTGTAAGAGAAGCTGCTAACAAACATTGGCGAAAAGCAAATATCACTAGTTATACCTTCTCTGTCATATTTAGTATATGATCAAGAACAGTTGGTCTATTAGGGTGTCGAGCAATTTGGAGGCGTTGAATGGGTGTCAAATGAGTGTACAAGTCCTTCAGGGCCTGAAAGTATGGCATATGTATCAAATGGAAGAGAAAAAAGAGTTGGTCAAATGACTATATTTGCACAGGTATCGCCAAAATAAGCTAATATCCTTTGCAAAATGAACAATACAATCTGTTACTTTATAACAAACCCTTTGAAGCAAAAAAGTAGATAGTATCTCATAAGTTAGTTATACAAGGAAAACGACACTTAGCGGACTGTTGCCCTCTTTAAGATCAGTTTAGTTCAAAACTAACACAAATTTTGGTAACAAACGTATACGACCAGCTATCTACTGTAAGAGTCATGTGAGTTTACCTGCTGATACTTGGCTTCCAAAGCATTAATCTGATCAGTGAAATCCAATCCAGTGTCTTCAGCCATTCTACGCACCTGTACAAGAAATAAGTTGAATAAAGCATTAGTTTTCTGATTCTGGCAACTACTGTCAATAGCATGAGATTCTCTACATTCCCGGTGCCATAATCATGAATTAGCCATGCTGGCACCAAATACTTAATTTATGTCAGCAATACATACATGTAACGGCATATATAGGCATTGATAATTGTCATTGTACATTTTAATTGGCTATAACCAAACATCATTTGTAAGCAACTCACCTCAATAAGCTGTTTCTCCAAATCAACCAATGGCTTCTCAAAGGCAAGTGTGACTGGTTTTGGTTTCTCATCAAGAGGTTTAAAGAAGGAAAGATACTTTAAGGGTGTCTTAGTGTTTGGATCAATATCACCAGGCCACGGGTAATCATGCTTCTTCCACTTCTTTATTTCAGCACCAACGCGGAATTTCTTCCGCGCCCTCAGTTTCGGACCATCCAAATCCTTCAAATTCAGGCCATACAACCTTTTGGTAAGAAATACACTACCAAGAGACAAGTTTGGCACAAATTCAGAAGTGAGGTCCTCTGAATTTCTGCCTCGTCCACAATTCCCAACTGTTAGAGATAAGGTGGCCATCTACACTTTGAATGTGCCAAACTGCAAAATCAGCTTAAATGCCTTACAAACCAAATATCTGCATTTCCACACAGAGAAACAAAATTAAGAATGAACATGCGAGAGACAGACAAATTAACATCAATTATTTGTTCCACTATGACCCTTGTGATCAGGAGGTCACGGGTTCAAACCGTGGAAACAACCTCTTGCAGAAATGCAGGGTAAGGACCCTTGTGGTCCGGCCCTTCCATGAACCCCGCATAGCACCGGACTGCCCTTTTTTTTACTTGTTCCACTATGCTTGACAGTAGGAGCAGTACTGTGGGAAGACATATATTTGAGATAATAATAAGTAATCAAGAGAGTTTTATCCTCAAAAAGTAATCATGTGAGTTCCATCAATACCCAATTTCCAAACATTTCAATAACTCAAGAACATGCCTTGAAACTTGACTGAGACAAAGATTTCATCTTTATACTTAGATACCATATATAAATAACAATGCTGAAGAGCCTAGCTACACACATTAGCAACAAAAGCCATTACACAACTCAATCACACCCATTTTGCAGAAGCATCAATTCTTGGTTAAAAAGAATTCTGAGCAACCCAAAGGAGAAATGCACAATTGGGTAGACAAAAGCAAGCAGAAATGCATTACAAAAAACAAAAAAATTGGGCACGTAGGACAACTGTAGCCCTAGTAATATCCTCAAATAATCATCTTAAATTTGAAATTATGTACTCTATCAACAAAAAAAGAAATGAATAAAATAGATAGATAACTATCAACCCAGAAAGCATATACCATGGCTGAGCCAAGAACGTATAGAGCATGAAATATGGAGCTGAAAATTCTGGGGTTCTCCTTTTCTATCAATATAATGTGGCTTTTTTTGGTATGAATATGCTAGTAGTTCAAGAACATGAACCAACGGATGAGATAGAATACATGTATATATGTCAAGTTATCAACTGTACAGAACTGAAAGCTCTTCTTTTGGCTGTAGATGATAGTAATGGATTAGCATTTGGAAAGCAATGGAGGTCCCCGCCAAAACATGTCATGTCCAAAGCCTGTGACAAGTAAATTTTGCCTTTTGAGGGGACAAATGTTTGAGCTGACTTGTTACAGAAGAAGACACACAATATTACTAGAGTTTATCCAAAGTGTTCCACGCTATTTTTATTTTATGGGTTCTAGAAATTATTAGATTTGGGAGGAGGATTTCAAATATTAATAATTAAATTCTGAATTTAATACTATATACATATTTAATAATTATCTTTAATATTTAAACATTATTTGAGAATATGTTATTGGGGTTCGATCAAATTGGTAGTATATGGACTTCTACCTCGGGCCAAATTCTCAGGGGTGCTATTTAGAGATTAGCAGTATTTATTTTGTTCAGAAATTTTAAAATAAAAATCTTTATTTCAGGACAATTCAAGATATTTTTGTCCTGAAAATTTAAACTAAAAACTAAAATTCAAGACACACTGACTAATTTCGAAATAGATGCCTCTTGAAATGGCTACATAGTGGCATTTCTACGCCTTTATACTAGAAACTAGTAAGGGGTAGCCCATGCGGTGCATGGGCCCAATAACACTATGTTTAGGTTGTACTAATTAGTATGTATAAATTTTCTTCTTAATTTATTTCTATTTTTAATATAAAATTTTACTTATAATGTCAGGTTTTTAAAATAGTTATGGATAGTTTATTAGATGATACTATCTCTCGTTCAAAATAAGTGCTTCTAAGTTTTTGACACACCTATTAAAAAAATTATTTAATAGCATTATCCTTTATTTCTTCTAAATTCTCTTTGAATATTCTCATATTCTGTAGATCATTTATTAGGTCAAGGATAGATTTGGGAATATATTAATTAACGCCTTTCTTGATTTTTCAAAGCCATAATTACTTTTGCCAAATTATTAATTTAGTTAATGTAAAATGTATT